CTGGTATTCCCAAATTACTCCATTATAGTGACTGGGGACAATGTGCAATAGGAAGTGCTGTTCTTTTGAAGAGATGTTATGTGGTATATATGTTATACTTGGTCATAGTCCTTGAAGGTCCTGGGACACAGCATAAAAGTTATCCCTTTTCTGGCTGTTTTGGCTAAATTCCTGTCTGGGATAGTACACTTTCACCATCCTGAATTTCACTCTTAAGTGAGCTGGTCAAGCAGTCTTTTACGTTTCCTCCTGTTCTGATGTGTTATGAGTCTGTTGGCCAGTATTGGCACCCAAGCAGGGACAGCACTTCTGTATGGGGTGACATGGGTCATTTCCTGTATTTGTGTGCTCTATAACACTTTGAGGTTCATTGTCATGAAATGTGCCACATGCTGTAAATGCCGCTAATTATTAATTATTGAAGCTACTGCTGCTTCAAAAAAACACAGGAAAACTGGCAATGTAATTAGATACTTCCTTGTTTTTGTCATGGGCATGCCTCAGTCTGAAAAACATTGAAATCCTGTGATGTTGTTTTGTTGGTTTGTGACTAGTTGTAGGATTATATCTGTGTTTCAGTTTCAGATGGGTCCTCAATTTATGTTGAAAGTTAACCTAAGATTTTTTCATACAACTACAAAACAGCACTACAGCCAAAAACTGCTTACCTTTAATGGCAGTGCAGATGGACTCGTATCACATATGAATGTTTGCTTGTCGATAGAGGATCAATATCATTTGACTAATTTTATCCCACTAAGCAAATTCTCATTCATTTATAGTTGAAAAGCTGTCATGACACTCAATCAAGACTGCTTGAGCACAGCTAGAAGAAGAAGTAAAACAGCAAAAAGCATGGAAGTAAGCTATCAAGTAGTATTTCATGTGACTGAGAGCCAGTGACCTCCTGCAATAAATACAGCTGACCTTCAGTCAGCAGTAACTGTTACTCATTGATCCTGAGAGAGGGTTTCTTCCTGTCTTCATAGGAGAATACTGAAGGACATGTACAGTATTAAAGCATTAAAACGTATTTCTTTTTATTGGGCACACTATGTCAAAACATACATATCCACCATTTTTGCAATGGTTAAAACATGGTTTGTCTGAATAATCAGACAACTTCACTTTCACTTTAATTTTTATATGTTCATGTTCTTTGCCTCTCCATGTGATCTGTTTCATTACTTTATCCCCTTGAATGACACAATCCTAGGAAGAACTTCAGTTGAGGAGAACTGCTAACAAGGCTCAGACACCATGACCAAAAAAGATGTATTTTTTCTTTTAGTGAAAATACGGACATTCATTGGTAGTTTTGAGAGAATCTTTTGTAAAGAATGCGTTAAGTACATTTATCATGCACCAGGGAAAACGTAGCTCAGCTATTTATTGTAAAAATCAACTGCAATTCCAGATTTGTAAAGATGAAAAGATAAAAAAAAATGTATTAAATGCTTATGAAAACACATAAGGAATTTTGCATATGCTGATATAAATCACTTCTTAATTGGATTTCTTTTGAATTGTGGGCAAATGCAAGAGAATGGAAAACCCATTGGGGAGAAGGTGTAATAAAATGATACAGAGGTAAATAGCATATTTATGGCTGGAGATGTACAGATCCCTTTCACTGGCTGTACTGTAGCATCTGTTCTCCCATATGGAGTCATGAATGCCTACCTGCAGTTAAACAGGCCCAGAAAGTGCTTTGCATTCGGCACAAAGCTCTTGCAGAGCAATGAAGGAAACAGTAACCGCTAATGCAAACAAATAAATAAGGCCAGGCTAGGAACACAGTCCCAACTTTGAGCTGTTAAGAATTTCTGACAGCTTCCGTATACAGTACCTTGCGTTCTCTTCATTCCTGCGGCCGCGTGGCTCTCTCTGTGATGCTCGCTGACGCTTTCCCGGCGGAGGCCGTGGGACTGCATATTTTACAGACGCTCATGTGTTGCACTTTAGGGATGGCCCCTTAGGGGACCGCGCTCTTTATTGTGCAGTTATTGGGTTGCGGCCTAAGGCGATGGTTGCTAAGCGTCAGGAGGGCCATGGGGAGCTGGCTTTTGTGTAAGCGCATTTGGGAATCCCAGCGAGACCGCTTGAAGTAAAGAAGGTACACTGGTCGAGGGAGAAAAATTAATTCCCTGACATACCTATCAGTCTTTTCACCGAAACCAGTAAGATTGTTTTTTCTTGTCTGGTTAAATATTATGTGTGTCTGGAGGTTTAAATTACAAGGCCATTTCGGCTCTGCAATGAAAAAGAAAATAACACATTTGTCCTGTGATTAAAGTCCAGCTCATAATCATTTAGCTTCCCGCTTGTTTTTCCAATAAAGTTCTTGATGCTCAAGAAAATGTCGCACGAACATTAATCCGTTTGATCTCTGCATTTCTGATTTCACTTGTCACTTCTCCGTATTTTACTTACTTGCTGAGCTTATTCCATTCCTTTATTTTTAGAAAACAAAACTTTTGATTGCTGAATAATTTAGGGTCTTGACCTTAGCTGAAAGCAAACAACACATCATTTATTTATTGTAGAGTACAATATTTTAACGAATTGTTGTTGCCTGTCCTTTTAAAAAAGCTTCCAAGAGAAATGAGTAGGTACAGTAAGTAATTAATGTAGGTTGTTTTTTTTTCAAGTAAAACATTAGCACCAGTGATTAAATGTCTTCCTGATACAACAACACAGAAAAATGGATTGTGTCCACATATCCCATACCATGTAGAAGTCATAACAGACAACTAGATGAGATCCTTAACCAAGAAATCAACTAATTTCATAGTTCGGTCTCACTTACTGTATGTCATGTTAATCAAATGTGTAAAACAAAAGAAAATAAATTAGTAATGTTATAGCTTTCAAAAATGATTTATTTACTTTTTTTACAGGTTTGAGGGTTTTTCAGGGGAAGCATTTCCTTTTTTTTACCTAATCCGTATTTTATCTCGTTTACCAGATAAAACTGCCATTTTAAGAGAGAGTAGCACTTAAATAATGAGAAGAGTGCAGGAAGTTTGCTTGTATACATGGCTTTAAACACAATTCTCCGCCCTAGATATGAATTGCCATTGTTCTTCTCTGGGTAAAACACTGTTTATTTTGTTATGTGTTGATCTTCTGCAGCTGTTAGTATTTGTGTTTGGGATCAGAGTCCAAGAACGAGATGGACAAGAGCTTCCAATTTTTTTCTATTTCTATTAATAAATACGCTTGATAAACCTAAGTGATAAAGTACTGATGCAAATTGAAACCCTGTAGCCTCTTAAACCTACTCCCCCTCTTTTTAATTTCTCTGCTCGCTGTATTAAAGACATTAGCTTGGTGCCTCTTTCTTTTTTCTTCACACTATAATGCAGTGACCTTGATCTGAGATCCACTTTCAGTTGGTACAAAAACTTAATCACAGACTGTCAGAGGGAGAATTCTTTTTCTACTTTAATGCCCTTTCCAGTACAGGGAAATTTATTGCTTGTGGGACAGGTAGAATATGAACAATGGGCAAAATGGAGTATGGGGTTATCTCATCTGTGGAGAAGTGCAGCTGGAAATCGATGTGACCTCTGCTACACTGTCATCCCAATTCCCACCCTCGGTGTCCTATTTGTCTTGCAGGGGAAGCTCAGATCGGTGTGTCATCTCTTGGGGCAGATTATCAAAATGAATCATGGCCTGCACTACTCTTACACTTCTATTTATTTTCCCTGTGACTTGGCCCTGTCGTAGGGAGGGGGCAGGAGGGGTGAAATATGAGGCTTTTTGCATCTGGGCCCTTCTCTGTGCGCCGGTGTTTCAGCAGTCTCGTTTAGCCCTGTAAAGATGAACTATACGTTATCGAAATTTTTTACTTCAGCTTTTACAAATGCATATGTGCCGTTTCGCCTTCCCTCCCACCCCTGTTTTTTAACCTCTTTCAATGTACAAGACCTCTGGAGCCTCAGTTGCTCTCGGTTCTCTACCTAAATAATAAGTCTTTTTCATGTGTCTTCATTTTAAGAACACAGAAATCAAGAGTTATGAGAGTTTACAATTATATCATCTTTAACAACCCCCATCTCAATTAGGGTTTCCTTGGAATGGTCTAGATCATCACCCTCAGGCTTATTTATATTTTCGCAGTTTACTTCATATTAAGATTTAAGCTGGAGAAATCGCTCAATTAGTTGGGCATCTTGCCTGGTAAATTAGATGCTCATTAGTGTGACCACAAGATCTTTGCAATAATTTGAACAGTGTAACAACTGTATGGTTGGTCTGTTTCCCTGTGTGTCATAAATAATGTAAAAGCTTTTCTTCAGTTTGGAAATGTAAGATAATGTTAATGCTGTTAACTGGATTAAAGATTAACAATGACATTTTGCAAAATATGTAGAACAGTGTCTAGGTATGCCATTTCTGATAGCTGTCTTAAGGAGTATTACTGTTAAAGATTGAGGCAAGGATTTCTGTATGGATGAATCACTCCAATAGCTACATTTCAAACTTTTTTATGGTTTTATATTAATATAAAAAATGGTCAAAGAAGGAGAGCCCAATTTTTTCCTTCAATTGCTAGTAGCTTTATCGATTCATGAATCCGGTCCATCCATACGGACCAGATTTGAGGAAATCTGTTGCGCCAGCACCTTCAATAAATTTGTTGTAGACAGCCATGACATACTGCTCAAAAAAGACCTCCTGTTAAAATTCCTAAATCAGTACATAATATGTAATACATAAAACTGCAGTCTTTTAGGTTGGTGGTTAAATATTTAAGCCAATGTTTTGGTCAATAAATATTGTTTTATTAGATTTTTCTATCACATTGTTCTACTAGAATAGCTAAATAAATTGATAGAGGGGAAGATTCTCAAACCATCCCCTTTCCAGCCCTTAACTTGTGTTTATCTGCCGGCGCATGTGTCTGCTCAGCCCATGAGGTGCCAGGTCTATTGAGATCAATTGCTGCAGAGCAGAATGACGTCAGGTCTCGCTGTGTGTCTTCTACCCAGATGAGACCCAGCTGGCCCTGCCTGTAATGAAGCCTGGCTTTGACAAACTCCCCCTGGCCGGTCAGGCCCTGCCTCCTGGATTCCCTGCTCCGTTCCTGTTTGCTGATGGGCTGTCTTCTGTGGAAACCCTCTTAACCAACATTCAGGTAACCCGCCACTAGGCTGACTGAGCACTTTTGTAGTGCTTGAATGAAGATACCAGATGTAAAAAAACACTCTAATATACATCTATTAGCCTGTAGCTTTTCCATTTGGTATAAATATAATCCGAAAAGCATTCATTCTTAATCCTTAAAGTATCTTATGAAAGAAAATGTTTTTTTTGGTGCTGGAGCCATTAACACATTGCATGAATAACCTTTAATTGCATACATTTCCTTTACCTCCAGTATTGACTTCACTGTGCTCAGGTAGTCAAGCTGCTAACCATATAGTAAGACATAGAGCAACTCTAAACTGGATTGCCCTCTGAAGGGCAAAGCATATGCTGTTATTATTGTTGTTCTTATTACCTGCCATATTAAAACAAAATGTCACTTGGTTTTTGACTGCAGGGTTTATAATCCAAACAAAACATCAAATTGTACCCCTTCACACTACAGAGTGTGAAGCAAAATCGCAGCACCAAAATTAATATACTTTTCAGTTTATGAGGGTTAAAATAGTATAATTCATATTATAATACTGTATACAGTACAGTATATTATTACTTACAGAAAAAGATCCTGTTTTAACCTGACACAGAATGTCTGATTTTGGACATTCGCCATCTTATAATGTAATCTTTTTTTTAACAATCCGCATAAAAAGATAATAAAAGCAAGGCACTCTTAGTTTTAGTTTATTCCATGTTCCTTCATTTCTTCTTCAGGGCAGTAACCTTATGGTGACTCACATCTGGCCCATAGGGTATTGCTCTGTTAACACTGTGATTCCAAACTTAATCAAGGTATTAAACGCAGTGTTTCTCATCTCTCTCCTAAAAAAGTATTAAGGATGTTTTGATTGCTGGCTTTGTACAGCAAATCGCACCACTCCCCTCTACTCTCCCACTGTATTTATGCTGAAATTTAGTTAACTTTCCAGTTCTAAAGTTTGATTTTTGTCGGGTGAAGTGTAAGTATAAGTGAAGGATTTCTGGGACAGTTAAAACATTCTGAATAAATGCTGTACTTTTAGCCCTTTTAAGACCAGCAGTGCTTGTAATACAAGAGCTGCCCCTCTTTTCAGAGTCTGTGATGTCGCCTCCTTTGGACTGCAGTATTAGATCAGATACATCCCACTCTCTGCTATAGCTTTCATGATGAGCTGGTAGACAACCTATTGATCAGAGTCATCACATCACTGAGGCAGAGGCGTAGCCCTGGGCAAACATCAGCACATACAGATTCCATATTACTTGTATATCAGAAAATGTGCTCCAGGCACCAGAAAAAAGGAGAGCTTGCTTGCAGCTGAGTTCAGTTCATGTAATAATGTTACACAGACGGATCAGCCCTCATTTGATTGTGTTATAAATTAAGTATGTCCACTTTAGTCCCTTAATCCTCCCCTCAAATTGGAATGCCCGATTCAGAGTGTCACCTCATTTCTTCAGTCCTCTTCTGGGAGCACGAATGTCAGTTCTCGAGTGTTGGAGAATTATCTCCCTCTCAGTTTGCTTTCTGACTACTTTTTAACTGATTCATTACACTCAGTGAAACTAAAACGTCATTGCATATTTTTCTTTTGTTTTTCATTTTGGCATTTTTTCAAATTTTGTCACTTTTGCACCAATGAGTGTTGTGGATTTCAAATATTGAGGGTTTATTTATTTGCGTAATGAGGTTTGGCACTTTTGCAACACTGCATTTTCACACTGACCTGTGATGAAGTGAGCGAATTTCAGTTTCAGGGCCAGTCTCCAAATAGTTCATTTTTCACCTGTACCTGGTGCTCTATCTTCACTCTCTCACAGGGTCTTCTCAAAGTTGCTGTGGACAATGCTCGAGTACAGGAGAAACAGATCCAGCAGGAGAAGAAGGAGCTGAAGATGGAGCTGTACAGGGAGCGAGAGATGAGAGAGAATCTGGAAAGGCAGCTGACATCCGAACTGCAGAGCCGAGGTAAGAACGACAGAAATGTGTGAATGGCCGGCTGGCATTACAGTGCAATGCAATACTTTCACAGAGCTTGTTCTGACAGTGTCTCCCTGTCCGTGGTATAAACAGCAGGCAGACCTGCAAGCAGACCAAGTTACCACATACAGCTGTTTGTGTCTGCCTATTTTTGTGCTTGGTATTTTATGAGAGTTGGATCTATGACAACTATTTCTATTCATTCCTATGAAATATCCTGTTTTTGTATCATTTTGTATATTCGGGTCATGCTCAGAGCAGTATCACTGCTATCTCACAACACTTCTGTCCTGGGTTCGATTGTGAACTGGTACCCTTGTGTGCATGCTCTTCAATGGACTGGGTGTATTCCCAATTTCCTGAGTTTCCTGGATGAGCTCCAGGTTGCCTCAATAATTTCTAGAAATAAGTAGATTTTTGATCATGGATGGATAGTTTTCATAAAAGTGTTTATGTTTAGTTCGTGTTACGTAATGGAAATAATATGAATACTTTTGACATATTGCATGAACACACATACAATTTATGTGTAATTGTATTGATAGTGTAGAACTACATTCTAACAAAGAACACGCATGGTGACCCACATTTGAATTGTGATTTAAATTGTATACACTGTGTGATTCATGGTATCAGATGCCTTTTTTCATCTTTAAAAGCATAAGCTCAGCTGAGATGTCAGGCAATTTTTATAGATGCCACAACACCAGAGATTTCTCTGCAGTCTTGTAACATAGTGACTAGTTAGTTACCTTGCATTATATAACTTGCATTATTTACTAGTCTTGGCAGATAATAAAATGTAAACCTTACTTAATCATATTTCATCCTTAGTGCCTGGAAAAGTACATGAATGTCTGAACAAATGTTTGTTTGTTGTTTCTGGAATTTACAAAGATCCTGTTGAAGGCCAGCAACCTCCACCAGCTTTTGAAAAGAAACAAGCATTTTCTTGTAGGAAAGGCTGAAATAACCAGTGAATAGATTAATTTTCTGGTACATTGAGAAGCAGTGTGTTTATTTCAATATACAGTATAGACATACTTGCTGAACACTTGTACCTTGTAACCAAGAAAATGTTTGTTGCATTTAAATTGTGTTAGTGTTTGCATCAAAAGGCTTAAAGTACTTAAGCAATGTTATTAATAAATCAATGTGCCTGTTGAGAAAATGAATAAAAATGTAACTGTACATTTTTTTTTTAGATAGGATTGTTTTAGCATTTTTAAAACATGGTGAGTTATCATGCTTATTTTTTTTAATTTAATCCACAGTGTTTTCTTATTCCTCAAATATTTCTTCACTACAAATAACTATTTTATGGGTCTTATGATGGGTACGCACACACAGACATCTGAGCAAATGTACTGTACTTTATATCTTCGATGAATATCCAAACACAACAATGCCACACAGTGTCCCAGCACTGCTGCAAATCATGAATTCCCCTAAGCCCCAAGCTTATCAATATACTGTAGCAGTGTCTAGGAAGTCATTTTATACAACAGTTGTCTTTTGTAATATGTATAAAGTGTATCACAGACATGTACTGTACATCTTTTACAAACCCTTTTCCAATGCAAGCTATGATCAGGCTAATAGGATAATGAGGAGTACAGTTAATGTTCACTTATTTATGGTCTGTTAGGCTGGAGGAATGTTAAGATGAAATTAATATCTTTACATTGTAATGCACAGCAGTGAAGGTGTACGACATGCTGCTACAAGATATTTTTGGGTCAGACTCAGGCAGTTCCGATACATTCTATATTTATATCCTTAACGTGAGAGGTTCAGGCAGTTCAGGTACTGTGTACTTGTTGAGAGTGTGGGATCTGTCGTTGACAGTCTACCATTAACTAGCTGACTGACACCCTAAGTGGCAGCATGCAAGTGGGTGGGACTAAGTAGGGCTAGAGGTGCCTTGTTTTTTCATATAAAAGTGAGGTTCTACATTACAAGCTTGTGGTGTGATGAGAGAGCTGCAGCACTCCTCCATTCAGTGCTACTGTACCTGTGCTGCCAGCGCTGTGGGATTATTGAACTACAGTATGACAGTGGAATCAAGCAGGGCATTCTTGTCATCGCCTTTCACAAAAAAAAAAACATGTTGTCTTACACTGTATCTTAAAATCAGAACCATTGTTAAACTTACAATTGACCTGCTAACATTATTTCGTGCTATAATGGTGGAATAAATATTGAAATTCTGTACAATTTCCCCATTTGGCTAATGTACAGTAACTTGCCGTCGTTTGCTAGTAATGTCACAACATACTCAATAGCAGATTCAGGCCATAGTTCAGAGGCAATAATTTGATACAGGCTACACTGCCATTACAGGAATATATGACACAAATGTCCTAATCCCTTTGTTATAAGGAGCCAAGTCAGATGTATCCGATGCCTGCGATTGGAACAGCTAAAGCCACTCTTGGCTTGTTGTTCTGAGTCCTGATGTGCACAGAATTTACACAATGCAGCACACAGAAATCGACATTACTCTGCCTTTTTAGATTTTTTTGAAGGCACCGTGCATTATACTGTATATGTTGGATATTTTAAATCCCATTCCTTTTTGGCTTGGCAGCTACATGAACCTACACTTTGAAGCGTGTGTGGGCTTTAAATTAATTTTTGTCTTTTTCCAAGCCAGAAAGTGACGGTAATTAGTGCTGAAATAATGCAGTTTAACGATATGCACAATGATTTTCATAATTTATTAGTCATGCCTGTTATCTTATTGCATGTCATTTGAATGTATTTTTCATTAGGGAGAATCTTCATGATGTTAGAAATTGCTCACACCAAAGAAGGGCCCAGAAAGAGGAATTTGGTTTGTGTCTCAAGCACAGTCCTGTTGATGTCACACACCAGCTATTGAGTGTATACTATTAATTTTCCTCGATAAGTAATTTTTCTCCCAAGCTGAGAAAGGGTTATGCCCAAAAACTTTTTAACTGTGGAGCTACGTTACCCAAAATGAAAACATCAGGCTGCTTCTCTGGAGATCTGTTCCTTTTCTAGCAGATCTTTATGCCTTCATCATTCTGTGTTTGTGCAATTGTACATAGTGTTTTGAGTCAGTTTTTAAATCTTTAAAGAAGTTGATGCAACAGGATTATCCTGAATGTTTTAATTAGGCACAAGGGTTATATTGTTTTATTTTGAGTGTTTTGATTTTTGTTTTTTTTTACATGTAGTTTTTCAGTCAATAAATCTTATACTGTATGTGCATGGTTTTTGTGCTTTTTCTTTAAATATTGTGTTGGCTTTTCATTAAAACACTGAAGTATGTATTCAGTAGTATAGGACAACATAAAGCCAAAATCATGGGTTTCTTCCCTGTAGCATCCATCAGTTCAAATTTTGAGTGGCATAGTGATGTCTTAGTTTGCAGTGCTCACTTCTGCCTCACAGCGTCAAGGTCCCGGGTTCAATCCCATCTTGACATGCCTGTCTGTGTGGAGTCTGCATGTTCTCTTGTGTTCACATGGGTGGGAACCTTCCACAGACATGCATGCTAGGCTTGTGTAGGTTTCCTAAAGTGCCCATTTTAGCCTTTACTGGCAATGGAATTACAAATAATTGAGTGTGATGGACCAAATGGCTTCCTCCCTTTTGTGGCAATTTTGAAAATATTTCAGAAACAAAGTCTTTGCATTGACATTTGCATCCACTTTAAATATGCAGGACCATGCTCTTTCCTCATTGCCAGTGTACAGCAGGCTTGTAATCAGCCCATTATTCTGCACACTTCTTATAACTTGCTTGTGATTCATATTTGTCGAAACCTGCTGTTGTGAAGAAGACAGCAGACAACAGTTTGTTTTGCTTGTGTTTCTTTTTCTTTGTGGTTTTACACGAAGGCCCTCTCTCAGGGCGCTGCTCACCTGGGCTGCTTTCTCTCTTAGCGACGATTCAGAAGCGACTGAAGAAGGAGAAGAAGGCTAAGAGGAAACTTCAGGAAGCCCTGGAGTTTGAGTCCAAGAGGAGAGAGCAAGTGGAGCAGGCACTGAAACAGGCCACTTCACCCGAGAGTCTCAGGATGCTAAATGGTAGGCCTCCGTAGGATTAAGAGAAATGTCAGTGGTTGCAAACAGCTGAGGTAATGCATAATTGTACAGGAGATCTGTGTATCTGTCATAATCGTTTTGCTTAGCTTGGATTAGCACACACACCCGTTGCACAGCTGTTGGCCTCTGCTGTTGCCATCAATAAATAAGCTGTTTTTTTTCCCTTTAGAAAAATTTCACTGTTTCTTAAAAGAGCCATAACACCAGCATGGCAAATGAGACACGGTTAGCAAAGCAGCCCATTAACACTTAACTTAGATAATGATTTCAGGCATGTAGGTGTGACACTCTTAGGTTTGGAGTGAATATACAGCAAAACCCTTTTTAGCACATGCGAATAGATAAGTCTATTCTGAATCTGCATCTAAAAGACAAATCCTGTGTTATGGTCGTAACGTGCATGTTTCACTGAAACAGTAATAAACTGAGAAAACTGTTAATTGTATTTACCGTATATCTTGGGTATTCTTGAAATCCTGTGTGCCTACACACATCCATTATTATTAAAATCCGATTTAAATTATTTAATTAAATATCCGACTAGAGTGTAGTTCTGTTAAAAGCTGTAAGAATGTTTTTTGTTTCTTCACTTTATTTTTCTGATAAATATGTTGCATGTGCAGTTAATTGGTTGTGAATCAAGTAAAGAGTAAACTGTTTTAATGAGTATTTAAAACACTGTCACCAAAATGTTTCCGTAAACACATATGTTCAAACATCAGCAAATGTTTCTACAACAAAGCAATTAATTTTAAGACCATTTAAATGAGAAGTTGTGAGTATACATACAGTTGTATGTGGTACAATCAATCTATATGAATTCCCTCACAAGATGATGTCAACTCAAAAATGCAATTAAGGTAATCACTATTGCACAATGAACCAAAATGACGTAAGACGTATCTATTTAAAAAAAATTGTGTGAGACATTCAGGCATGAGTTAATAAAACTAATACTATTGCCGTCTAAGTGCTGTTTATACAAAAAGGATAATGAAACATTATGCAAGCAGGAAAAGGCAAATAAACATTTCAAAAAGACATCTGCATGAGAGATGTGACCCTCACGTGGACAAAAAATGGATAGATAGCAAAAAAGAGACGTTATTGTTCACTGAAAGATAACAGAAAACAGTTTCCTTTCTTTCCAAGCAAAAATGAACCCTAACCAAAGCTTTGAATGATACTATGAATGACATGATATCAGTATGGACATAATACTGAATTTGTCCTATTAGATGTGCACAGACCTAAGAACAAAGAACATTTGTGTCCTTCAAATGATACATAAAACTGAGGTCTTAGCTCTTTGTGGTCATTAAAAATCTCAGCCCATCTAGGGCATCTCTCAAAAAGAGTAGGGGTGTTACTTCTGGCTTTTACCAATAATGGCCTCCTAATAATCTATGAATTGGCTTCAACACTCTATTCACCTCCCCACTGATAGCTGGTGTGTGGTGAGCGTTCTGGCTCACTATGTCCGCCGTCGCATCATACAGGTGGGGCTGCACACTGGTGGTGGTGGAGGGGAGTCCCGATTACCTGTAAAGCGCTTCGAGTGGAGTGCCCAGAAAAGTGCTGTAAAGTGTAAGAAATTATTATTATTATTATAACATTGCCAGGTATTAAATAATAATCCCAAAGTTACAAGAAAATCTTCTTTTTGACAAGAGAGTACAAATCTTGAAGTTCTACCAGTGTATCCATACAAAATATTTAGTGGAACAAAGTGTGGTGCATTTTAAAATGCACAGATCCAAAACGGATTTGTATAAAGTGGTTAGAACAATTATGGATGGATGGAGTATCAATATCAAATTACAGACAGTGCTAGACAAAACTGTTATGCTCTTCTTTGAATATAACATATGGTAGTTTATAATTTAATTACTACTTGATCAATTGAAGACCTTCACCTTCCTTGGGCATCAATAAAACATTAGCCTGGGTCACCAAAAAAAAAATCTTCCGTTTAACACGGACGTTGGGTATAGTGGGACAAAAGGCAGGGATATTGCAAGAATATGAGCAAGGACTTTTCAAGGATATAAGGACAGTATGAGGATGGAGTAAAGGCCTGTAGTAAAAGAAAGATACAGCAATTGCCTCAAGCGTATGATACTGTCTCTGAATTTCATTAATGTTTCAAACTGGTATTGCTTATAAGGATTAATAAAAACCCAAAGATTCTGCATCTAAGAGATCTTGAAATGCATGAACAAGTCTCATTTCAAAGATAAATCATGTGTGTTGTTCATAACAAACATATTTCACTGAAACAGTAATGAACCACAAAAACTATTAATTGTATTCATATCCTGGGTATTCTTGTAATCCTGCATGCTTACACACATACATTATTATTAATAATAAGCTTAATAATGCAGGATGTTTTTATTTTTGAATTAATCTCACAGTGGGTTTGAATCTCTTCTTTAAACAGAAATGATCAACGAGCTCTCAGGAATGTACAGAATTATTCATCAGAGCCCAAAGCAAATACCACAGTTAGACATAAGAGCTAATTTACTTGGATATCACAGTCAATCTAAACTACAAAATATAATTTTCAAACTTACATCAATGATTTAAAATAGCACTAACAGGGAGTACAGTATGTAAATAATTGGTTTTGAATCTTTCATTGAATGTGGTGCAAGGAAAGGTGAGATTTAGGGTTTGGTTTCAAATCTGAATAGGTTATCTTGTGGTTCCACAACTGAACTAATGAATTGCAATATGTATTTCACAAGCTCAAGAGAACTTGCCCAATCCTCACTGTTAGTGGCCTAGCCGTTGTTTTCAACTCTCTCTCCAAGAGGAAAAAATATCATAAGAGGCTATTGTGATAAGTGCACTGAGTTTTAAAGCTAACAGTGGTATACTAGGGTACGATACAGTGCAAAGAATGGTGAAGTTACAGCTAATAGTAAGTACTGGAGTTTGTGTTTAGTTATGAAACTATATCAAAGCAAATGTGTGTTCAATTTTGGTATAAATGCATCACAGGTTTACCATGCTAAACATTCAAAGAGGCTACACTCAACTAAGAATGTTCCTCTTTTTTATTAGACGCAGTTATTCCAGAGGTGGAACCGGAGCACAATGGAACTCCGCACGAGAATGCCCCCGTACAAGGTAGGAAGAACTCTGCCATATTGCCCAATGGCTCCTCTCAGAAATCCCAACCCTTTTGTCCTGTGTGTAACCACAAATGTATGAGAAATTTCACCTACATTTCGTTTTAAATGAAAACAGTCCAGAGCACTGTGGAATACACTGGGATTTCTCAATTAAGTCAGTGGATATGCTTAATTAATGTGGCTTAGAGAGTAGTGAATTTGAAAGTTGTAAAATGGATGATGTTTTATTTAACTAAAAATGACTAGTATGTTCATAACAAATGCATTGTGTGTCCCTTTCACTGTCACAGGGATTTTCAAAGTACATGCCTAAAAAATACTCTGGCAAATGACTAATGGGAAAAATAGTGGAGATAATGATTTCCTGGATTAGCAATGTTGAACATTCCAGCACTTACTGTAAATAAGATGCAGCAATGAACTGTATTATTTATACTTTAAAATTAAAGCCTTTTAGAAACATAGCTATTTACTAATCTTATTAATCATAATTCCTGGATGTCACAGAGTTTACAAAAAGGACCATTTAAATACAGACATTCCTGGTCCACTGTTCAATTCTTGACTGCATAATGACTGACAGTGTAATGTAAGATGTCACCCTTCAATATTTCCTAACCCCTCTCCTCTGAAATCAGACAATTTACATTCATTGTAAGTTCCAGTATGACCAGTGCTTATACACTACTGCTGAAAGCTGTTTACTGAGGAGCATATTGATTTTTGACAGTGAGTCCTCCCTCCCCAGCACACAATGTATTGAAATTCCAGCATGGAAGAGAGATTCTCAGAGTGTCAACAATGCTGAAACAGGATGTTATGTGGGAAAAAAAGGTTTCATATAAAAGGTGGCAGTTCGTTTTCTGGTGGGTTATTGATATGAGTGCTTGGATCATCTTGAAGATTCCAGTGAATCAACTCTACAATGCTCTATTGTCAAATAGTCTTGGCTCCAGAGCAACATTTCTTGTCCAAATCAAATGTAGAATGTCACGGTATAAGAGAAAGTGTAGCTGTGGAAAAAAAAGATAAACGAATTCTAACTGCCCTGCAAATAAAAGAACTATACAAATTTTATTATATTATTGCAAACAGGATTTGGCACTGGAACCTTTAAGTTTTCATCACGGAGGAGCAAAACAGAAAGAGGGAATAAAAGAAAGAAAGAATAGTGTCTTGTTAATTTTGTAACATTTTTCATTGTGAATCACAAGCTTTTCTTCACCAGTGTTTGAAAGACACATTGTGCAGGCATATTCAATTGCACAGCAATGTTAATTACCTGTATCTCCTGTGTGCTTATTGGGGTGAGTGCTGGACGACTGACAGACTGACAGACAAGTTTTTGCATTTCATTTGCTTCTGTAGTACTGAATGGCAAGTCAGAGCAAAGGAAAAGTGGGTAGTTGAGAAATAACCTTGCACAAATAAGCTGACCCACCTTGACTGTAAATCAGGTCAATGAAATCAATGAAAAGATGACTCAGACCTAGCTTTGGCATAAAGTTGGCTCGCTCTTACTTCAGTAGCCTTCATACAAAAGACTTTCTGTCATGATAATGCAGTCTAATGTTTCCTTTTCTTGTTACATCTTGAGAAATGCCCCATTTCCTATGTAGTACTACAATGGTATTATGTTTAAAACTAACACAGTTAGGGCTATGGGTCAGCCCATTTCGAGATGATTGATAAGGCACAGATGGCAATAAGCATGTGTAGTACATATGCACATTACGATAGTTCAAAATTAACGGTGACATTAAAACAGAAACTGACACGTTAGGGCTCAGTCCAGTATCGCTTTGAAGTGCTTTACACTACCACCCCTTCCAGTGCAAAGTTAAAGGAGGGGGGAAAAAGCATTTCAGAAAAGTGAAAGTAAAAAGAACTCAATTTATCATAGTTTATCTAAAAAAATGCAGGTTGTTTTTGTGGGAGGAAATTCAGACTGTCAATTCTTGGAAAGCAAGAACATTACATTTTGAACATTAATGATTATTATACACCACATGTTATCAGATTTGTCTGGAAAAATAGATGGATGGGCTTCAACTTTGGTTTCTACACATGCATATAGTGTATATATTTATTTATGTATGTACATATTAAGCCAATGAAAATGATTCAGCAGAGTTGGAGACTGTCATGTTTACCTTTTAGGATATGAACGTCAGAATCATTTTAGATATTTTAAGTAAATCTACAACTTTGGGGAGACTCAAATAAATGTTTGTCCATCCTTTATTTACAAAACATTGAATAGGCAGCTTTCTTTTAACCTTACCATGAATGTCATGTCTTTATCTGAGGTCCCTATAAGCTCAATAGCAAATCAGTGTGCAGTTAAGTTTTCATTACAAACTCTTAACCAAACTAAGTTTTCTCATATAATGTGCTGTGACTCCCCATTGTGGCCAGACAGAGGCTGAGGCTTGAGTCTGTAGAGCTAGGAAATTGTAAATAAATCAGCCCTTGTTATCGTAGGTAACAAAAACACATACTGTAACAGGGTCACAAATCATCTTCTGTAAAAACATGTATTATATCTGTTTTTTCCCAGTACTTTGTAATTGAAAAGGGTGATGTATACAGAACAGATTATTTCAAAATCTGTCAAACTCCAAGATACTGTAGATTCCCAAATTTGTCCTGTTGTCCTGCATACCATACACAAAATGTACCTCTTGACATAGACATCGTGAGGAGTAGGGGCAGGTATGCACTCCATACTTTCCAGTAGTTCAGACCAATCTAAAATGGTGATGAGTTACTTTTTTAGATTGAAATTAATTGAAATTTAGATTTAGATAGCAAATTCAAAACAACTGTTTCCTTGTTGTTTTATTTAGTCATATTCACAGTTCTGTTTCCTGCCTCACTCCACACCCTTACCTTCCAGTAAGAAAACTGTTGAAATCAGCTTATAACGTCAAGACAATAAATTAGACCCACAGCACAAGAAGCAAAAAATAACACTTTGAAAAATTTTGACAATGACACATTGAAAAGCATTTGATGTGTCAAACTTAAGTGTGATAGGGCATGTGGAGCTAGTTACTGAAGCATCAGATTGCTGTTTCATTACCACATGGCCCAGAAGGAATGAGGTTCCAAATTAAAAACAATTCTAGATACATTAAAGGAAATCTGCAATTCTATTTTTACATTTCAGAGTGATAATGATGAGTGGATTTCAAACCACTACAAAACTAACAAGTGCACGGTAGCATGTACAACCTCCAAATTACATCACAAAAGAGACAACGTTTCAGTGTATGAGTAGTGCCATGATACACCATTGTCCATGATTCTGAACGAGGCAACAAAACTTCTGATGATGCGACAGTGGCTTTAATATATTGTAAACATTCTTTATCAAGCAAATTTTGCTAATATTTTCATGAATCCGACACATATAGTACATGGCCACATGTTTTAAATACTTTTAAGTATTGCAAAAAAGCAATATGCCAACCACCTGAAATACACTCAGAATAATTAACATTGTTAGGAGACCATGTTTCTCAATTGCTTTCGGTGACTAGTGGGCAGGAATGGCCTGCTTCCACACTCTCTTTCTCATCTGTGCAGAGACCAGCAGTTTGTCATCGGCCTGCATGACATCCATACAGTATTTTCATTATTTTAAACGTAATTCAAAATAAGTAAATTTTTGCAACACCATTAATTAATTTATTTTGTTACTGAAATTTAAGAACCAGTCTGAGAAATTGGGACTGTAGTTCCCCTTTAAACTCTCCTGTAATGAGCACAAGATAACACAATACTCAGCACAAGATAACACAATCAGGACATCCCATAAAACAAGATGTACCTCAAGGTTTCTCATGTGAATTTAGGCATGGACAGACAATTCACTACCCTTGCACATGTAGTAACCTGGATAAAAATGAACAGCTTGTTTGGATGCACCCTGGATATTCATATGCTATCAGGTACTACAACTCCAGCATCTGAACAATAATTGTTTTGACAATGATGATTATGGTATTAACAGTAATGGTTCTGTATGAGTGTACAACAGATCTCTTTAAAAGTTTTTGAGAAGTTTTTATTTTTTCCCTTCTGACTGCTGTCAACACTGATCAAAAAATATTGTACACTAGGTGTAAAACGTTTGTTTTTCAGCTCCAGTGCTTTGGTCATTCGATTGTGCTTTGATGATCACAGTTTAAATAAAATCTTTAGAAAAGCAGAGTAATGCATAACCTGCTTGAAATCATTTGGATTTTCAGATGCCACCCACTGTCATCTGATTTCTGATAGAAAAGCGGTATTCTCATCCAAAATCAACTAAGCATGTTTGTTTGAAGCTCCTAAAGACAAGCACAGCAGTTGAAAAAGTAATGATAAGTCACTCTCAGCTGGTTTTGTTAAAACACCAGGACATCCGTTCATGCAGAGGTATGGAAATGAAAAAAACTTGGAGGAATCTGTTGTGATAGCTGGATCTCAAGCCCTAAAAATAATAGTGACAACTTTGGAGCAGTTTTCATTCTCATGGTCCTAAAACAACATACAAGGTATTTTCTGTGTTTTTGTTTCTTTTCACCTTAGACTATAGAACTAATATCATCTTCAGTGAAGCAACATTAACAAGCCCCTAGGTATTCTGCCAGCCATAGGCTGTAAGAAGTAAGACTGGCTTAAGACTGACTGAATAACATTTCTGAGACATTGAAGGAAAATTCTGAATTTGAAATTTTGATTTACTGATTGGCCTAGGCACTATGAAAAAGCAAAGTTTATGAATATCAATTACTTCAACTGGCAGATTCTAGATTACTGTTAAAAGTAATGGGTACAGGTCTGAAATTGGTCTTGTCAAGTTTGGTGTCCCCCAGGGCTCAATACTGGGCCCCTTGCTCTTCAGCATTTACATGTTCCCACTTGGTCAGCTTTTAAGATCACATGGCCTCAGCTTTCATTTTTACGCTGATGATACTCAAATATACATCCATACTAAACCCGACA